AATTAAATCTGTACAACAACTCTGCAGAACTTCCACTGCTTATGTGTGGATGAAAATCTGAAGTCTGATCGTCACCTCATCTTTCTTCCCCCTCCTTAAGCTTCAAAAAAAGCAATTCTCAGTGTATCTGAGGTTAAAAGACTAAATTAAAGACAACTCTCCTGCAAGCATCAAAGTTGCTCGCTTCTTCCATTTCTCTGCCACACTGAGTTCATCTCTTACACCTAAGCTCACCGCCCTGCTACCTGTGAAATGATTGGTACATCTGTATTTAGGCAGCACCATGAAATTCCACAGCTGAGCTCTCTAAACATTGCACTGACAAGGTAGGGAAGCCAGATGAGAAGGGCTGCAGGACTTCAGTAGACGGACAGAAGTCCACATCCCAGCACTGAGGTAAAGATATCCAAGATGCTCTGCCTACCCTACTCCTTAAATTCGGGGGAAAAGAGATCCCTCAGCATCACGAGGTAATCCAGTCCAAGTTTTTAGCACCATATGCAGTGTTTCACACTTTGCAGATATTTGGAAGAACTGGAGACCTGATTCTGCACTTATGAGCGCCACAGCCAGGCTGCCAGAATTCTTCATGCACCAGTGCATGTGTCAGGGAGTAACTGCTGCAAAGCACCAACATGTTTCTCCCTGCAGCCCAGTCCAGCCAGCCCCAACCACCACAACTAAAGAAAAGCCTCAAGCAGAGGCTCAGCCTCAGTCACCTCATGCACAGAAAAAGCACATATTGAGCCAAAAAGAAATCCAAAATGAAGTCCAGCCTTACTTGCCTCGGCCAGAGATTCTGGAGATGGCAAGGCTTGTTTGGTGCCTAGCTGAGGCACAAAGCAATCTCTGCTCTTATGCAGTTTCATTTCCAAAGACAGACATCCAAGTTAGGTTTCTTTATACATGCAGATGCGTACCACCACTGTGTCAGCACCGCAAAACATTCCACTCACAGCAGCTCCTATGGCAGCGAGCAATTGAAAAATGAAAGTAATCAAGGAAGACTGAGGATTCTGAAGCTACAAAAAGTCAGAAGAGTGTCACTGTCAGTCCAGCAGCCTACCAAATTGCCAGGAATGTGCTATTGGCCACTTCTTAGCATAACTTTCCCTGAGTCCTCTTACCAGACTCGGACCTTAAATGCAGTTACAGAAATTACTGACACTTGACACGGCCGTCCCAACAGTGCAATCATTCCCCACCATGAAGTAAATGGAATCACCTCATTACTTTTCTCAACTGAGTCAGCCAAAGTATTTTCTTAATAAATTATCTCATAACTTGCCAATGCTTCTGAACTATTATAAACACATCTTGAAAGCGTACCACAATTTTAATCAGTTTCAAACATCAGATGTGGGGTTTGATACTCAAGATTGTTCTGACTCCATTTCGTTTAAGGGCTCCTTTTGTCTATGAAAGCAGAGATAAGAAAGTTATCTAGGACATTCGCTGTAAAGTCTCTCATTTAAGAGCAAGTCTCCTCTGTCACTGACTGCTGTTACTTCCCATAGGACACCAGGCAAGCGGTCGTAGAGAAGCAGCCTTCACCCCACACACAGTGACCACTTGGTATCAGGACAACTAACCAATGTGTGCCCATGCAGCCTCGAAGGGGGGATGCTCTTCTAAGCCCGTGTTAATCTCCAGGGGAAAAAAAAATACCTAGTAACTACAGAAAGAACTTAGCGTGGTGTTTTGAGGAGGTGGCTGGAAATTATTTCTTTTAGGAGCTTCTTTTATGATTCCCCATCAGCTTTTAAATTAGCATGCCGGTTCCTATTCTGAGTTTCCTAATCACCCGCAACCTGGTCCTGTTGGCTTCAGTGAGCGTTAAATTGACTCCCCTGAACTCTGCAGGGCCCAGAAAATGGCTTCAGGCCACACAGCAAACCGTTCAGCACCAACATGGAGTTAATAGAGCAGGCCTTAGATACCCATCGCCAAGCATCACCCATCAAAAGCGTTCCCCCACAGAAGCTCTAAACAAAATCCAGACCTCCAGATCTGAGGCTATATAAACAGATAATCCCTAATCAGCAGCCATGGCACTTATTTGTCTTTTGCCATAGAAGAAAGCCAGATGATCTATCAACCTATTCACTTTGACTATTTACACGTATTTTAAATCTTTGCTTACATAAAACTACAATGAAGTATTTTAGAGCAGAGCATCTGCCAACATACATACAGTACTCTGCTGAAGGCAGATGCGTACCGTAAGGTGCGTGTAAGATCATTAGTTAGCTATGACAGGTGATTTGCTGTGATTTATCTTTCAGGATCACCTCATTCACAAGGAAAATGGAGCGTCGGCCCCATCTATAACCTATACATGCAGTCTAGATACTTGAAAATGATAATAGGTTAGAGGATGCAGCAGACAGCTCTCCAACACGAGCCAAAATACTTAACCTGAAACCTTTTGGAACAGAACCCAAAAGCATCAGTAGCCCAGCCAGAACTCCTACTAACATGGAATTGCCAGGGGCTAATGAACACAAAACTCTTTACCTAACGCATAATTTTACTGTTGCTGGGAGAGCACTGCTCAGTCGTTTCGGTACAGATCCAAGAAATTTGCTTCTTATGGTTTTGTCTCTGTTTGAGGCAGACACAAATTAAAGCTAAATTAAGAGCTGTGGCTCAAAATGAGTCAACGGAACACAGGAACAAAGGTCGGAATGCAGCTCTCTACCCTGCAGGTGCATATCCTGGGCACACGGCGAAACGGGGCCATCCGCTCCCTTGGGACAGCTGGCAACAGAGCCAGGACTGAAACATGTCAGGCTGGAGCTGAGCGGATATGGATCAATCAGCAAACCCTACCCAGGTGGAACGGTGTGCCCCGGGTTTCACTATAGCAGCAGGCCAGCAGCAAAGCAGCAACTCCGCTAGAAATTAAACCGTGCTCAATACTACATTTCCTCTGCTTACGGCACACTGCTACTTCACGGGCCTCCTCACAGCACCGCAGCAGGATGGACAGTGGCTCAGTCCAGCAACAGCAGCTGAACTTGCACGTCGTATTACCACCAGCCATTCCACCTCACCTTCCCACATCTAAACAGGCTTCTGGCTCCCCACACATCAGGCTGAAAGCTCTGAAGTACAGCTTGCTGATTCAGCCTAGGCAAGCTAGCTTCAAGACTGGACCAAAAAACTTCAGTGAACCATCTCAGCATCTGCCACAAAAGCCAACAACCCGTAATCAAAACCTTCCATGCTTAAGACAAACTGCCTCCCTCCAAAACATTCCTGTGCCTGCAAAGAATATAAGAGACAACAAGTTGCAGAAGCTCTAGCTACGTTGGCTTAAGAACCCCAGATAGAGCCCCTCGTTTCTCCAGCAGCAGCGCATGCCTAACGCAAAGCCAGCAGGGATGAAAGCAATTGAGACACCTGTGAGATACCACAAAACACATTTGAAAGAAAGATCATCATGTGTGTTGCACAAACTAACAACGCTTAAAAATTGCTCAAACATTAACAGGACGAACGTGAGAATATTGAATATGTTCAAGTACTTTTGCATGACTTCATCCTGGACCTTTTTATTCCCTAATTTGACTTCGGTTTTTAGTCTAGATTATAAAGAAGATTTAAAACAGGGAGCTTTTTTCCCCTTCCAATGAAGCCTTCCCATTAATAAAAAGGAAACAAAGAAAATGAAGAAAGTGAGTAGTAAAACTTTTACAACATAATAAAATATATCAGAATCCCATTGCAACAGCATTGGAATTGTCTGAAGATGCTGAATTATGATAGGTTGTCATATAAAGTTCAGTCCAGAGTATTAGCAATCATACTCTCCAGCAACATGCATATAATTGGGAGATCTTCGTAATAACCCTCAGTTTTAAAGGCTCGTAAAAACTGTGCTTTACTCATAATTTGCAAGACAAAAGAAGAAATTCTTAAAGGCAAGGAATGTCTTTCTCTCAACAAGGAAGAGTCAGAAGACAATACACCACGTCCTTAAAGCAGGCAACCCTAAATACTCGCTTTCTCTACAGTGATTTTTGGTGAAAATACTATACAGTCAGTTTAAAAAGATACACAAGATACATACATCTCTATAGCATACACCCTAGAAAGAAAATTAGCATCACGCAGCACAGAGAGGAACCCTCTGAAAGTATATTGTAAGCAGCACCTGCCACGTTATATTTTAATGCAAGTACTGAGGGACTCTAAGGTAAAGACCTCAATGGAACCTTGTAACTCAAAGTAAGCACACAAAAAGGAAAAGACAGTAGTTTTATGAATCCTGTGTCAAATAGATTTATTCACCTGCGTACTACCATGTGAAAAGCAACTGTAAACATCCTGTGAGCACTGGACGCTCTCAGTATCCCAAATCTCCTCACATTTTCTCTGTTTCCTCCTCGACACTTTCAATCAAGATCCTCGCACTGCGTTAGCGAGTCAACTGCGGAGTGCCATAAACTCCCCATTATCCCAGCCATCTCTGGAGTCGCCAAAGCAAAGCTCAGGTAATGAATAGGACGCTGAAAGTTCTGAATGGTAACAGTAAAATACAACCTGCCGTCAAACCCAGATATTTCAACTTGATACTTTTGCCAGAGTAAAGCCTTTTCGTAAATAAGAAGTGTTTGTTTTCAAATAAAGCCGCTTCAAGCTGCTTCTGGAAGCACAGTAAACAGTAAAAATAACGCAACAGCAATTTCCATTTGGATTGCAAAACCCGATGAAACAAAACAAAACCAGCACATGTCAAACTCAGAGTTTTCCTACCTGGAACAGGTAAGGACCAGCTCTCAAATGCCACTTGGGGATAGTTCAGACTGGTAATCCCGTTCATGGCTAGATGAGACACCAGCACGAACGAGAAAGCAGAACAAGCAGTCTGCCCCGTTCCTTCTCTTCTTTTATTGGCAAAGCTTACAGAAGCAGGTAAGACCAGGAAAGCGAGCCGAGGACCCCGACTAACCCAAAAACACTGCCAGAGAGAAACACGTTTAAAAGAGACTTACTGCTTGCCACGTGACTTGGTGAGGTATGCTGCCCATTGGGTGTACTTGAGGTGAGGTCAATAGCCATGCTGGAGTGCTCCCTTTCGGGTGAAAGCTCATTGTCACCTGCTTTCACAAAATAAGTCGCCCGTAAGTTTCCATCCCAGCAAAGCAACCCGATGATTAGCAACTATGCCTTGCCAGCTCCCTGCACCCCTGTTTGCCTTCCCTTTGCTAGGGGAGCCCTCCAAAGCCTGTGAACACTGGATTCTCAGTGGCCAGAAAGAAATATTTGACGGACTGATTCTAAGAGCTCCCTCAAACCTCCCATCACCAGTCTTTCGCAGACAGCCTTAACAAAAATCCTGGTCCAACTGCTTTGTTTCCTCAGAAATTAGTACTACTTCTCCATTTGCAAACACTGAGGATAGCAGGAGACTGAATTCCTACTTTGCAGGACAGACCTTCCCCCCCTGGAGCCTTTGGTCAGCTGACAGTTAAATAATGCTCTCAAAAATAAGACATTTTGCCCTAACACAGAAAGCAGGAGAAACGCACAGCAAAAAGCAAGGAAAGTTGCTGGTTCTGAAAATGAGTGCTCTCTCTCACAAAGTTCATTCATCCTCAGCAAATACTTGAACTGCGAGGTGCTCACTCACGCACCCATACCCACACGTCTTTCAGTCACACACAAAGACTATGTTTAAATGCCATTAATTCAGTGGCATCTGACAGCAAAGACCATACAGAAGGAAGCTAAAGTTTCAGGTGCCCGCATTACAGAAAAATAGCGGGGAAAGAAGAAAGTGCTATAGAATAATCAAATAAAACGACTACTTACATGTTATATATCCATCAGCAGCCTCTGCTTCCATAGTCAAAGTGCAGTGCTGCAAGGCAGAAAAGTACACCCTCAAAGACACCTGTCAGTATCAACCATTAAACGATTAAACTTACTTAGAGCCCTGAGTAGTTATACCCATTTTGCTGCTGTTGCAACCATTGCCTAGAGAAACACAAGCGTAGTGCATGCGCTCGCTTGCAAATCACCGAGCCCTTCCTGCAAATCATCTGAGAAATCCTGCTGACCCTTGGGCAGGCTGCGCTGGGATCTTCTCGGTCTGACCAAAACCTTCACTGTTCCCCACTCGCCGTTTTTACCTGATTTTAGCTTCCCCACTCCGAGTTTCCACTTGTCTCTTTGAAGCAGGGATTGTAACGCTTTACGAATTATCAGCTCTCTCAGCCAGAAACAGACCTGCAGGAGTTGGCACTATTAACAATCGCTCTTTTCTCACCTACTCCAGGAGACTCGGCTCTGCCCTAACCAAAACAAACCCCTCGGTGCCCCTTGCAGACCGCTGCCACCAGCCCTCGCCTCACACCAGCCCCTCACAGCAGCACACACACCTGTACACACACCTGTTCCTCCTCACCTCGCTGATCTGCCCCAACACGGGGCCCAACACTGCACTCAATGCTCCCAGGCCATGCATTTTGTGGCATGAAGCAATCTTAAAGTTTCTGGAAGCGCTTTGCTGACACAGAACAAGCTATTACTTTCCAGAAACCCAAGTAACTGTATAGAATGACACCCCCTAGCTATCATTTGATATATATTGAGGGGGAAAAAAAAAAAGAAAAAAAGAAAAAAAAAAAGGAGACAGAGAGGGATCAATAATCTTAACTATGTTCTTTTAACTGGAAAAGTTAAGAAACCAACATGACCAGAGGAGAATTTTATTTCCTCTCTCCCTCCCCGGCCTCTTTTTTGCCTTTAGTTTCAAAACTCTCACTGCACCAGGCAGCTAAATTATTCACAATGAGCCATTTCTGTATTGATCGCCAAGTATATTTAGCCCTGGCTCCTGGAATTTCTCCATTACTTACTGGAAAACAGGCAGCTTCACTTCTTGTCTCCAAAACCACTTCCCTCCCCCTCCTTCAACTCGCTTTCCTCCCGCCTTTCCCCCAATAAATAAATACTTTTCTCTGTGTTCTTCTTTGGTATAAAGCAGATCAAATTCCCAAGGCATTCAGTACATAACACTTAAATTTCAACCTGCCTGGCTGCTACCAAACTCTCTACAGTGACTGATTTTTCCACATGACTTTAAAAGCAACAACAACAACAAAAAAAAAAAAACAACCACACACACAAAAAAATCCCTAAAAAGTTTCCAAAGCGGGCAAGCTGCTTCCTCAAGCCCTCCCAAATTACCTTCTCTTCCCCCTAGTCCAGGTAGGCAGGCACACACTGAGTAAAGAGAGAGGCATCAGAAGCAACAGGGAAAGAGCACCCCAGCCAATGGAGTGAAGGAAAGAAACGGGAGGAAGGGAGGAGGAAGAAAAAAAAAAAAATTAAAAAAAAAAATAAAAAAGGCACAGAACCATCCGTAACCTAAATTAAAGCACCGTTTGGGGTGGGGTTTTCTTTTCTTTTTTTTTTTTGTTTGTTTGGGTATTTTTATTATTGTTATTTCTTAAAAGTGGGGAAAGGGGAAGGAAAGAAAAGTTTGCTCCCCGTTTTCAGGCTGTGATGGGGAATCCCGGCGGTTCGGCCTTTCAGCCGGGGAGGGGGCAGAAAGGAGAGACGCCGCAGACACGGAGAGGTGGGGAAAGTTGGAAGAAGGAGAAGAGGGGAGGTGGGGGCCAGGCGGCCGCCCTGGCACTTACAGGTGGGGCATGCGGAGCCGGGCAGCGCGGGATGAGCCGGCGGGAGAGCCGCTCAGGAATGGCACATACTTTCAAGGAAGATGAAGAACAAAAAGGGAGAGAGGGGGGGAGGAAGAGAGAGAGAGAGAGAGAGAGAGAGAGAGAGAGAGAGAGAGGGAGGGAGGGAGGAAGGGAGGGAGGTCAGCCGGTGCTACAGCAATGCGATTAACCAGCAGAGAGAGAGAGAGAGAGAAAAACTTGATCCACCGGTTCCTTCCGAATCGGCACGGCAACCGGAGCGGGGGGGCTCGGGCGGCAGCGCACCGCCGGGCGGGCAGCCTAGGCCAACTTCCCGGAGCCGTTCCGGCACCCCCCCCCCCCCCCCCCCCCTCCCCGCGACCTGTCAAAGTAATCCAAGTCCTGCCTCGCCGCTTTCATCTATTCCCTTTAGGACCCTTTCTCCCCACGCACACCTCTCCCGTTTTCCCCCTCCCCCCGTTCCTTCCCTCGGTCCCCCGACGCACGGCCGCCGCGCCTCAGGCCGCAGGTGGCGGCGGCAGGGCCGAGTAACGGGGAGCGGAGCGAGAGCTGCCCGGAGAGCCGAGGGCCGGGGGGGGTCGGGAGGGGGGGCGGCTCCTGACGCGGCGTCCCCGAGGGGAAGCAGCAACAAGTCGGGCCCCGCTCGGCTCGGGGCCCCCCGTGCTCCCGGGGGAAGGCGAGGGGAGAGAGGGAGGGACGGCACGGGGAGGGGGCAGATTTACCTCAGCCGCGCAGGCAGTGGATCACTTCCATGCCCCTTTTGTTTGTGTTTTTATTAGTGCCGCCGCCCCGCGCCCGTGCGCGGCCGCCTATGGAAACTGAGGCAGCGGCGCGGTCGCTAAGGGTAATCCTGCCGGCACTTCCTCCATCTTCGGAGAGCAGGGTTAGCCTGGGACAGCTGGTCAAACCCCGAGAAACCGATCCGCCCGCCGCCTTCACACACACACACGAGCACCGCGCACTCACTCACTCCCTCACACACACACACACGCACACACACATACGCGCACATACACTGAGGCGCACGCAAGCGCGCACCCGCCCGCAGGCGCGCGTCCCCCCCCCCCCCCCCCATCGCTCTCCGCGCGCGCGCACACGCACACACCGAGCGGGCGCGCGCCGCCGCCCCGCGCGCCTCACCCGGGAGGAATGGATGGAAGGAGTGGGGGGGCACGCGAGGGGAGGGGGCCGCGCGGCGGGGCCGCTCAGCACGCTCGGCAATCGATTAGAGGACAAGTGCCGCCTCGCCTCACGCGGACACACGCACACACACACACGGTCACACACACAATCACACACGCGCGCGCACCGCCCGCTGAGGGCACCGGGCGGCGGAGGGCGAAGTTGGGCGTTCGGAGTGAACGTGAGGTAATTTCTGGTTTTTTGGTTGGCTTTTTTTTTTTTCCTTTTTTTTTTTTTTTTTTTTTTTTTTTTTCTCCAGGCTTTGAGCTCAGGAGGGAAAACCCGGATTAAAACGAAAGCTCCTCCGTGGCGCTTTCCCCATCTCCCGCGCACGGTGTGTGGTGGAGAAAGGGCGGGAGCCGCGGTGCTTCCCTGAGGACAATCAGCTGACAGCCCGCTGCCCACACGGCACCAGAGCCGACGCGTGCCAGGGCTGGGGCCGGGCTGGCTGTTAGGAAACGTTTCTTCCCAGAAAGACCAGCGATGCTGGTGGGCACCTGCGTGAGGAAACGCTAGCGCAGGTGATGAAGCGGTGCGAACTGACGGAGGTAGGCACACAGACGGAGGGCCGGTGGAGTGATCCTTTACCCACGCCGGTTGCCAGAGAGCTTCAGGATGCGCCGACTGGAGCTCCTGCGCCGTGCCTACCCGCGCTCCTTGTGGCAGGCTGTAGGTGCCTGAGCCAAGCTCATAACTCCCTCACCGGCGCTACAAATTTTAGCCAATTAGTCATTACACCACATCTGAGAAGCAGGTTAGTTTAACTCTTCTCATTTTGCATAGGCAGAAGGGTTAGGGGACTGGCCCAAGGCCATGAAGAGCAGTGCTCAGAGCTGAGCCTAGAAAGCAGACTTCTTGTTTCCCACGCCTACGTTTCAGCAACTAGACTTGGCTTGCCTACCTCAGAAAATAGACTGGCATAGCTATAGCTGTGTAATTACACCGTTACCGTTATAACTCTCCTTGTGGACGTTCTCCTCCAGATGGAAAGTGACTTCCCAAAGGCTGTCCAAATGAATTCACTGAACAGCAAACACTTCATGTTTCTGCACTTTTTTTTTTTTTTTTTTTTTTTGTCACCGTGGGGTCAAAATTCCCAAGATGCAGGTCTGGGTGGCTTTCGATAGCTCTTACAAGGCATTGGAAAGCATGGGTAAATGTAAAAGGTGTCGTTGAAATGCTGGAAGTTTTGTCGTCAAGATTTTTATGACGCTTTTTATCAAAATGTTGAAAGCTGAAAGCTTCCAGCTGGCTCTCCTTACAGGTAATAATTTAATAACTAACAGCTTTTCTCCCAAAGCTGTTGGAACCGGCTTGAGTCATGGAAACTGATGGGAAAAACCAGACCCGTCCTCTGCAGTAATTATTTCTGGTTTTAATCCCGCTGCTCCGTAAGCTTTCAAAACCAAATGAAGCTGTGAAAACAGGCAAGAGTGACCAAGGGAAAAGCAGGGGACAGACACTAACCTGAAAGGGTTCACCCTTAAAAATTAATTTGTTAAGTGGAAAGACTGCAGGGATGAGAGCATCTCTACTAGAGCAACATGGGCATAGGGTGAGTCACTGGTTTTATTGCAAAATTCAGCTCTGCCACAGCTCAGGGGCTGCAGCAAGAGCTCCAGTGATTTCCATCAACCACACAACTGCCCCCAGATTATACTCTCTGGAGCAGCTGTGGCAACCTTTAGGATCAAGAGGTGGTTTAGTGATCAGGACACCAGTGTTCACATCCAACCATGGTCAGAGGTCCTCTGCGTGGTTTCAACCAAGTCATTATTCCTCTATGTTTCACTTCTGTTTTTAAATTGCAGCAAATAGACGAGAGGTTTTTCTTCAGCTGAGCAATAGCCTGAAAGCAGCTCTCAGCTTTGCAGCAGACTTCTGCCACGCCATAGAAGCTACGTGGACAAATCTTTCAGAGAGATCTATCTGGAACTCCTTTCCCCTCTGTTTCCATCCATGAGATCTAAGCAGCCCTCACACAGCCATGCCTGCTGTAGACAGTGCTCTGCCACAGCAGCCCAGCTGCCCAGGAGACAGCCACCCAGTCCTGAGACTCGTCGTGTGTCCCCAGGGTCTCATGGGCCTCAGTTCTCCCTCGCTGTGCTGGAGGCAACAGAGCTGCCAGGGAGGCGGGGAGGAGAAATTAATGCCTTATTGCTCGTCAGTAACATGCTTCAATAGGTCTGTGATGGGCTCAGCCTGTTTTCAGCAGAGTATTTAACTACATATGCATTTAACTTGTGTGTGTATGCATTCGCACACGTTACTATTCAATACAGCCAGAAAGGCGTTTTATGTAAATTCTGTTTTAAATTATCTGGTTCTCATTATTTTGTGTGCTCTTATGAGGTCAAAGCATTCTAGGAGTTAGCTCCCTAAAATCTTGTGTTAGGTATCCACATAAATAATAGCTTATCGCAGCAAAAGCTCCAGGTTTATTTAGATTTAGGAAATCAAGGAAGGCATATCTACCAGACTGCTGCCTTGGACAGCTATGAACACCACTGAGCGATGGACCTCCGGGTCAGCTTTCATGCCTTTAGACTGAACCCTCTCTTTTCTAACCAAGAAGGGGTACTTTGACGACAAATTGGATCGAATCCCAATATACTTTGAGCAGGACAAACGTAGACCTTTCTTTACTTAACTGTGTCGGGCGATCTACAACCATATAAGCTCTAATCTATTCAGTATTCCATCTCCTCCTCTTTACTACAAAAAGGCACTGTTTTATGCTTATATGCACCAATAAAGAGACCTATAAAGAAAATAATGAACATCCTTGAATATTTTCAGGCCATACCCTATTAATTTTAAAAGCGACTCAACATACTGCACCCCTTGTATTTCAGCAAGATAAAAGCCTATAGATTAATTCCTATTAAAACAGTTGGTATTTTCAGGACATGCAGATGTAATTTATGGAGAGGCACAATGCTCATAATAGCTCAAAGGCCACAGAAACTGTAGATCTGTGTCTGTTACTGTAGCTGTACAGGCATTCATTGTACAGAGAGCGGTTGAAAAGACGGAGTATGTAATCTGAATACTAAATTTGTGAATAGTTTCTCACTTGGGCTGGTTAGGCTTTTCAAGAGCAGCGGATGCTTTGTGGGGGACTTTGTAAGACATTCTGCTAACGCATCACGTGGTCGCTGTATTTTCTTCTCTTATCGTTGCTGTTAGAGCTTTATTCATAATGCACAGCATTTGATTCTTAGAAGGGCAGGAGCTCCTGCTCTGTACTCTCCACCTGAATTCAGTGTGCTCCGTGTGAGACAATTTCCACAACAAATCCTGCTTCTTTCTATCAGGTGAGCAACTTGAGGTATATATACACCAAAGGTTACAAGAGATCAAGATTCCTCCCCTCCCCAAGTGCCCCAGTTGCTGCATTCACGTTGCTTGGAAAATAGCATCGTATTTTATGTATTATTATCAACAATAAAAGTGTACAGGTTTTCTATTTTATTATGGAGATATAAATGTATATGGATGCATCACTTATGAGGTAGGGAGATTCTGAAGTGTCCTAACAACTTCTTAATTATGACACGAGCTACTGAGTGTGGATATTTGAGGCTGGGTTCATCTCTATTCTTTGCACAGCCTCCAGCACAATGAGGATTTATTCGTGACCTGGCATCCCACTTAGTACTTCACCAAAATTAAGAGTCCAGCTTTACTTTGCTTATGACCAGAAATCTCAATACCAGCAGAACTGAATACATCCAACGTTGAACAGGGAACAGCACAGTAGTGTATACTTCAGAAGTATGGTGAACCATTTACTGTACTGAAGGATGGAGGCACTTAGGCAGTTGCTGCTCAAGCTGAAAGTTGGTAAAACTCACAGGTGCTGGTTTGGTTTAGCACTGCAGAGGACCAGGGAACATCCAATGACAAATGACCATAAATATGCCTTGGCAACATTTAAACATTGGTGGGAATGGAGTCCTCCTTACGTTTCTCTTTGACAAAATTAAGATGAATCCTAGAAGGTCAAGTGCCTCCAGTTAGGTTTGAAGGGGCTTCTATGGAACAGAAGACATTTATAAACACCTTCCTTGATGCTACCAAATTAGGGTGCAAAGAGCATGGGAACAGGCCTTGTAGGGCTCAGCCTGCTATACTATAGCTACATTTGTAGTTCTCGTTCTGTCTGAAAGACAGAAGAGATATGGCCACCCAATGCTTACATATCTGAGCTTGTAAGGAGTTGTTCTCAATAACTTGGCAAAGGCTTGAGGGATAAGAACATGTTCTCGAATGCAACCTACCTCTCAAAGGGCAGCCTTGCACCAGTGGCCCCTTGGAGTCCAGGAGCTCCAGGAAAACGCCGAGCCAGCAGGGCACAGACCTCATCAGCCAGGGCTCACCCCACAACCCCTGAAAGTCAGCACAGGTTTACTGGGATGTACTTCATACCACTAGTTCTTGGCCCTTCACCACTTTTCCAGCATCGTGCTGGTGCTTTTAGGAAGCCAAGGAGAGGTTGTGGGGCATCTTCCATGCCACACCAACTCCTGAATGTGTGTGGACGTGAATGTATGTCAGTCCCCTCTGCCCCGTTCATGCTGCTCTGATCACTGCAGAAACAGTATGTTGTCAGAGTCTCATGCATGAATAATGAAGCCAGAGCATAAAATTGTCTGAAAAAACAGAAACGCCCAGCTCTCTGCCTCCTGAAGAGGCACAATTGAGCCAAAGCCTTACACTGTCTCAGAGGTGAAGCATAGCCTGGAGTCTGATCGTGAGCTTGCATCACTGCTTTTAGTTACCTGTTGTGGAGAAGGATGTTCATCTCCCCCTCCATTTACAACAGCAATAGGCACTTCTTTGGCCTCATATTTCCA